GCTTACCGATTTTAAGCTTAACAGAGTATGTTTATATTAGGAGGTCAATATAGCAATGAAGCGTCTTCACAATAGTATCTAACGTCGTGGTGAATGTTAGGGGTACGATAGTATTGGGGATAGCTTCTTTGGTGTATTCAGACCGGCCGCATTTTGGGAAACCATTTTGAACTCAAGACATCATATACTAACAATTTTAGACGGCTTTCAGAGAAAGAGCTAGAGCAGGGTTAATTCCTGGTGTTACCAAGGCTTCTTGGTAATTGAACGCAGGGATCATTTATTTCTTCGTGTTCATATTGTAAATAGATTAAAATAAACTAATTTTTCGAAACATATATTGATCCTCCTACATATTTGGATACAATTTTCACATAAATCAGGATTCACGTACATCAAATACAATTCCTTAGAAGTTTTCATGCTACCTAGGGGTAATCTAACAGTAGTTTTGGTATAGATATCATGTCAAGATGTATTCTTGGTTACGCAGCCCGCACTGATTACCAAACGAATTTTTTTTATTTCGTCTTCCACTGGCCAAACCAAATACCTACTTGTAGAAATACAATAAATATTTGCTAATTGTAAAGCTGATATCCTTAAATATGCTTCAACATTTTCGCCCATCTCCAGGAGTATTTTCCATAGTAAGATCACGTTCGGCTATAAAGCCTTCATCAATTGTAAGATGCATCTCATTGAAGCCAGATTTTTCAAAATTTAAAAAGATAGAACAACCACCAGGCTTTGTTGTTGGTACTGTTAATGACGCATATAAACCACCAGAAGCATCCTTCTACGAAGGTGGATACCACTGGACTTACGAGCGCTTTATTGCTATCGGTTTAGTACCCTTATCGATGACCCCATTCATCGCAGGGGTTGAATATCCTATGATCGACTCAATTTTTTCCATAGCTTTATTATTTCATTGCCATACTGGTTTCAAATCTTGCATAATTGACTATATACCTAAAAGAGTCTACGGCATATGGTATGGACTTGCAAGCAAACTATTAACTTTTGGTACATTTGTGGGTATGTACGGGGTCTATCTCTTAGAAACTGAAGGCAACGGTTTATTCGAATTAATCAAGAATATCTGGAACTGTTAGATGTACTATCATATTAAATTACTCCACATCGTACTTCTTACATCAGTACATTATTTTGCAGCTTCTATTTGAAGTTTTTGGAAACACATCAAAACTTACATTTGAATTAGTTGTCCGTTCCTACAGTGATCTTTGCTATCACAGCTTTGTATATATTAGCCTTTTATTAATGATCTATAGACGAATTTATTGTCCTTCTAAGTGTAATTTAGTTTTTGAATCATACACGATTCCACAACCATACTGTTCTCAAATGATAACAAGAGATTTAGCAATCTGAAAGAAGAAATTGTGTTTCCGTACATCTCCAAGAGGTAATGAGTGATACTGAAGATATCAATTACGAAAGAAGGCCAGAGTTCAATGAAGAACCAGAGAGAGAGAATGTGGAGCCCGAAAAAAAGCCCGTAGACCACCATGGTTTGCAAACCCCAGATGAGCTTGAGCCACAAGAAGAAGTTGTCTACGAAGTTAAAGAGGAACCTTCATTCAACCTTACGAGGGCATTGTTCATCGGTAATTTGCGTAGGCCGATAAACGCAATTGATTTTCAGAATTACTTGAAAGAATTGGCATCAACTGGTGGTGACAATGTCATTGAAAGGGCGTGGCTAAACAGAACGAGAACACATGGTATAGTACTCGTTGATAAGGAAGAAGGAGCAAAATATATTAGGGAAAGATTGAACGGAAAAACGTATCCTTCAGAAGAAGAAGACTCGAGATTGAAGGATGAACATGAGCTTCGTGAAAAAGAAAAGTATGAGAAGCAATTGCAAGAGTACGAGGAAGCTGAGGATAAGGACTCTTTATCAGAACCAACCCCTCCAAAGGAATATTCGGTAGAGAGGAAGCCCTTGTACGTTGATTTCATCCCTGTAAAGGCTATAAACCAATGGATTTATGAAGAAGACAAGGGACCAAGAAACGGTAAATGGAAAATTGAATACGAGAATAAAGGTGACGATATTTTAGCAAACCATGTGTTGCTAACTGGTGATTTTATGCCACGTTACAATCAAAGACATCATCATCCAAAGTTTGGACGAGGACGTGGATACAGAGGTGGATATAGAGGTGGATACGGAGGCCCTATTTATAATAGAAGAGGACTGAGCGGCTATGGATATGGCGGGTCTGGTCCAAAACCATATGGAGTTTACCCGCCTAGAAATGGGTATTATGGTCCACCAAGAAGAGGTGGCTACCGTGGTCGTAGAGGAGGATATTATCCAAATAGTGGTGAAAGAAGTAGTTATGTGCCGGGAGAATCCAATAGAGAGGAACGTGCTAGATACCCACGCACTGATTCATATCAACCAAGGTCTGAATATAGGGACAGATCGTGGGAAGGTTCCGCAAGAACCAGATCTCGGTCACCTTTGTAAATTTGATATATGTAAAAATAATTCTTAGAAGTTTTTAATCGATTTATTTTTCTAGATGGAAAAATTCCAAAAATTATACGTTAATATAGAGTAAGAACATAAATATTAATATACAAGGGGTTCTTCATCACTGACGATAATATTTTCACTACTTATATCCATTTTATTCTCATTATCTAAATCGCGATCTTTGTTGTTTAATATGGTCTCGCTGCCGGTAGTATCATTATGCTCATCACTTATAGGATCTGAATTATTATTTTGTGACTTTGTCGGTGTGACATTTGAACTGCTAGGCGTAATATCCTCAAGAGTGCTATTGGATATATCCATTCTATCTTCATCATTATCTACTTCACTTGGTCCCTGTTTACAAGGACTCGGTTTTTCGTCTGTGCGTGCCCGTTTTGCAGCATACTCTTGCTTGGACTCAGATTGTACTTCTCTGGTATCTGGCTCTCTTCTACGCCTCGAAGGAGACACAGAGGGAGTCTGTACATTTTTTTCGTTGGTACTACCATTTTCTGGAGTTCTATGAAGTTTACTATTCTCCAGTTGGCCAGCCGGTGGAGGAGAAATAAGCATAGGATCAAGAACCAGACTATTTCCCTCCGGTTGTTTTTCTCTACCAGGACTTTCTGTCTTCAACCAAGGTATCGGCACTAATGGTATTGTCTGCACTGTCTGATTTGTAGGTGGGTTTGTAGCTTTTGAACCTCCCATTGTAGGATTCACAAAGGTAACTTCTGGATAGTCAAATACAGAGGATGCAACCACTACCAACTTTGAAAACGAATTAAAATATTTCAATACTTTAGCATTGTTTGTAAGTGAATATCCCTCCTTTTCTGGGTTTAACGTTATCTCTGCTATTCTCTGAATTGTAAACGGCGGCTTGTTCAGAAATACATCATTTAAATGCCTAACAATAGCGTCTTTCCTCCTATTTATAGATTGTGGGAGATCAACTCCACGAGGTCTTTTACTGTACTTTTCGCCATGTTTGTTTGCTAAGCTAGCTATTTCTTCAAGCCTATTTATTAATTTCGGTAGTATATCGGACGACCATTTAACTTGAGGTAATTCTTTATATTGTTTTGAAAATACCACATCTTCAAATATTTCTGCCAACTGTGGTTCCAACGGTGGAATCGCCAATTCTGGCATGACTTATAAGACCTAATGAAATATCGTATAATTCAACAAGGAATGGTATAAACCTTTACTTGTTTACTGATGGGAAACGCGATTATCAACGCGCTCAACTATAGACTAGCTTTAAACCTCAAGTTACAAAAGCTTCCTACAACAAATTTATTTACCAATATAAATATCTTAGTAGTAATAGAATCACCCCAAATACGTCCAGTGAAGCCAAATTGTCTCTTTTTTGAACTTTGAATAAATCAATGCCACTGTAAAGTGCCATTGGTTTGGCTGTGAAATTTTACATCTATCCTAAAAAGCCGCAACTTTATTTTATAAACCCTTGGGGGTTAAAGATTCCATTCAAATATACAGAAACATCAAGTACAAATGTAATGCTCCCAACTGTATGTTTAGTTTCGTAAAGATATTATGTTGAACAGTATATAACAGTAAATGTTAGGGCGCATATTTACGCTATGCATAGTAAATATCAACATGGACATATTTAGCACACAAAAGAATTTTTCATTTGGATTGACCATTATGGTAGTCAGATACTTTGTTTCCGATAAAGCATAGAAAGGTGGTATAGAAATGACATTCATCAGAGCTTGTGTAAGACAGTTGCAAGCTCCTATAGCGGGTACCTTAAGAAGCAGAACTCCAAGGCTTATCTATTCTCCAATAATTAGATATAATTCATCAAGCACTAAGGCTTCTGAAAAAAATGATTTCAGTTTAACTGCTCAAGTTTTTCCATTGAATAAAGAAAGCATTACCGAGAGTGATGTTGATGAGTGGTTGAATGCTGTACAACAATTAAAGGGGGGTAAGAGTCATGTTGAATCCGAATCCGAAGTTTATATTTCACATTTGGCTAATCCAGCACCATTTTTGGAAGAAAAGTTTGAACCAACTGAAGAACAGCTTGCTGAAGTTGAGGCATTTGCAAACAAGAGGATTCCACTTCCTTCTAATCCTATCATTGACAATTTCACAAACCTTATTATGAGAGACGGTAAAAAATCGAAAGCACAAAAAATTTTATCCAGAGCATTATATATTGTCTATTTGAAGACTAGAAAAGATCCATTGGTAATATTGGAAGAAACATTAGATAAAATGGCACCATTAATGGCAACCAAGGTTCAAAAGACTGGTGCTGCCAAAAACAGAACCGTTCCATACCCATTAAAAAAGAGACAAAGAAATAGATATCCAATCACATGGATCTTGGAAGGTGCTTCAAAGAAGAAATCCCCAGACTATTCGGTTAGGTTAGCTGAAGAAATTATTTCTGCTTACGAAGGTAAATCATCTGGTTATGATAGAAAAGCCCAAATGCACAAATCTGCTATGGCCCATAGAGCTTATATTAAATTATGAGAAGCTTCATTTGATTATAATCTCTACATCTTGTATATAAGAATCATTAACCATTAAATTTAAAGATTTATCGAAATAATATAATTCTATTGTAATTTGCGTAAAAATTATTAATCCGGATTTTGTAGCCACAGAAGTATTTCTTTCATACTTTTTGTCATAGCAGCTCTCAGGCATAATATTCAAGCGTTTTCTAACTATGAATTTACTTTATAACTTTTAAAGACATATATAGTATTGTATGCTTCATTCCAAAGATTATACAAAAAGAAACTATGCATTCAATACAATACACATTTCACGATCTTCGTTACAAAGTTGAATACTATAAAACGCGATATAAACAAAGATACTATAGTAATGATAGAAACCCGAGAGTTATTCAAACGAAGCTAAAAAACCAACGGCTTCTCTCTCTAAGAACCCAACCTCACGATAAATACTTCATAAAACCCGGTGAATTTTTGGCTTTAGTCCCAAAAAAATTGGACAGAAATGTTAACCAAATAATTGAAGTGGACACTTCAAGATACCTAAAGTCACAGTTTTTGAAGCAGAGAGATTTGTTCAAAGGGTATGATGATAATGCCTTGACGGAAAATTCCTATTCAGGGTTCCATATGGAACAAGACAAATATAGAAATATTCGCAGCTATTCAGGTTCACTCCGTTTGTACACTCCAACCACTGATATACCAGATACTTACAAGCATAATACAAAACTAGCAAACCATCAGAGATCTCTGCTTTCCCTTTTGGATACTGTTGAGCCAAATAGCCTGGAGTATATCTATTCCAATGGACAGCATGGTTTTGATCCATCTTGGAATGCATCACCATTGATAGACTTAAATTCTATTTCTTCAGATATTAATGAAACTCCCTTAGCCAACCATAGCAGTCATTATCTAGATAGAACTGCCACTTCTTCATCTAGCAACCTCTTTGACTTTGAAAATGTAAAAGTTTCTCCAATTGGTACCTCTGGAATTCCTTCTATCGCGTCAAAGATGCAAAATTCTAGTTCTAGACGGAATTGCTCTATCAATACTGACAATCACAGAACAAGAGTTCAGAACTCATGGAAGTTGGTTCTTAATGCTATCTCGTTATCTGCAGCAAAGGTATCAGTTGGACTATCACCGAAATCAATCCACGATTTTGAAAATTTAACCCCTGATTTCATAAATGCAAAATCTGCAGAATACAAAACTATTTCAACCAAGAGGATGTACAACTCAGAAGGCACATTTAAAGTAAAAGAGCGTTCGAACTTACACAACTATTCCATACAACAAAACAGATTCATTGATGGAAATATTCAGAAATACCCAACGATTAGCGACTCAATTTCTCAAAGTCATTATTATAATGAAAGTGGTTTCGTGTCAATATATAATTATAATTCCGATAATGAATCGTCATTTTAATACCAAATCTACTTAAATTTTGCAATTTTAACATGATTCTCAAAAAGTTGCAACTTTAATGTTTGTAATTTTGGAAGTAAGAAGGCAGAGAAAGTGATCATCGGAGAATTTCGTAATATATAAGATATATGTAAGGATTTAGACAGTAAGAGACATATCAAGACAGATAGGGATAATAAATTAGTGAAATACACGTTGTTACAGAAGTCTTATTAGTTCGATAAACACTATTATAGAAGAAAAATATTTCCTGCATATAAATCGTGTTTTAAGTGAACTTGAAAATGATGATTTGTTAATTGTCAACAACAACTGCTATGATCAATAATGGCATCCCAAATACACTTCTTGGATATAAAGGGGAAAACCTTACTTTCAAGAGATTATAAAGGAGATATTCCTTCTAATACGATTGAAAAATTTCCGCTTTTATTATTGGATCTTGAGAATGATGAAAATAACGAAGAGTCTAACTATAAACCATTTGTAAACTATCAAGGTATAAATTATATTTATATCAATCATAATAATTTATATGTATGTGCATTAACAAGAAAGAATGATAATGTTATGGCGATAATTGTTTTCTTATCGAAATTGATTGAAGTTTTGACTGAGTATTTCAAAGTGTTAGAAGAGGAATCAATCAGAGATAACTTCGTCATAATATATGAATTGTTGGATGAAATGATGGATTTTGGACATCCACAAACCAGTGACACACAGATTTTAAAGCAATACATCACCCAGGATTATTTCAAATTAATCAGAAAAACATCCCTGAGAATTGTTCAACCACCTAATGCAGTTACCAATTCTGTTAATTGGAGAAGTGATGGGATTGTGTATAAGAAAAATGAAGCATTCTTGGATGTGGTTGAGTCTATTAATATGTTAATAAACGCGCAAGGACAAGTGTTGAATAGTGAAATTTTAGGGGAGGTCAAGATCAAATCCCACTTAAGTGGTATGCCAGATTTAAGGTTAGGGTTGAACGATAAAGGTATCTTTAATAGCGAATCTAATAATAAAAATATCGATCTAGAAGATATAAAGTTCCATCAATGTGTTAGGTTATCTAAATTTGAAAATGAAAAGATTATTACATTTATACCTCCTGACGGCGAATTCACCTTAATGTCTTATAGATTGTCGTCAAATCAATTTTTGGTGAAGCCATTGATTTTGGTCAATTGTAAGACCAAAGTTCATAAGCATTCAAGAATAGAAATATTATGTTCTGTCAAGGCACAAATTAAGAAAAAATCTGTTGCTAATAACGTAGAGGTTGTGATCCCATTACCAGATGACGCTGACACTCCAAAATTTACTCCGGAATATGGAACTGTTAAATGGATACCAGAAAAGGCTTGTTTGATTTGGAAATTGAAGACTTTCCCAGGAGGTAAGCAATTTCACATGAGGGCTGAGTTAGGATTACCTTCTGTGGTCGATTCAGAAACTATATTGTCCAAAAAACCAATCAAAGTTAATTTTTCAATTCCTTATTTTACCACAAGTGGTATCCAAGTCAGATATTTAAGAATTAATGAACCAAAATTACAATACCAGTCTTACCCTTGGGTCAGATATATTACCAAGGCAGGCGACGACTATACCGTTAGACTTAAATAAGTATATATAAATAATACATTTATTTGCATCGGTAGTCTAAATAATTATATAAATACTATAAATTTATTCACAATTATAAGGCAGAAACGAGCATTGAAAAAATAGCAGTATAATTCTTTATCAATGACGGATGATAAAATCAAATTTGCTGTCCATAATTGTATTAAAACATATGAATTAACGTCGAAGTCTAAGAGATTTTCTAAATTGACCTTTGAAAATGAATCAAAGATAACAAAGTCGATTGAATCGAAGCATAAAGAAAAAGTTTTGGACATTTTATCTAAAAGAGATCATTATATTGGGAAGCTAAATAAACTTCTAAATGATTCTATTCCAGATGAGGTAGATCACAACAAGAAAGATCAAGTCAGAGCTGTAGTAGAAGGACCAGACCCAAAGTACATCACTAATAGATATCATGCGAAGCAATATATCGTGAATAACATATTGCCAAACAAAAATAAATTGCAAACAATAGAACAATTAATATTTAAGCATTTCAAACTTCAAGACAGTTATAAAGAGTCTCGAGAAACGATTTTAAAGGATCATCAGGATTCAATTAAAAATTTACGTCCAAATACGAAATTATCAAAGCTATCAAATTTAAATGAACAGATTAAAGATCATAGCGTAAATAACGAAAAAATTAAGCTAAATAATGAATTGGAGGCTTTAGATGATAAAATCATATTTAATTCAAAACAGTATAGTATTGAAACATTCGAAACATTGCAGAGTTTAAAGGTACCTTATTTCTACATCGATGAGTTGTTCAAATACCCACAGCTAGCGGATGATAGGATTTACGTTTTAGACTTGTTAGTTAAATTGATAACTAAGGATTCTATTAATAAATAAGGAGTAGTACACTTATCAATTGAGCTTAGCATCATGAGGCATTTGGGTAGTTTATAAGGTTAAGGTATAGTTTTAATAAGCAAATGTAAGAGAGAATACAAGTCATAGTATGGTTCAATCCATTCATTGGACAAATATATTAAAATCCTTTCATAGGACATAAAGGTATAAGATGCAGATAAAAAATAAGATAGATAGAATTAAAAAAAGTCAGTTTGAAATTAATGATTATACCAAATCGGTCACACAACCTAATGAAGCATCACTGACTAATTTAGAATATTTAGCCAATGTACCTCTTGTATATCTTGGTTTTGGTGGAGTCCACTCCTTTCTTCTTTCAGCCAAGATATCTTCGGATACTAGTAAGTCGATTTTGTTGTTTTCAGCGTCGATAACAATTTCATCACCATCATGCACTAAAGCAATTGGACCACCAACTGCAGCTTCTGGAACAATATGACCAATTAAGAAACCGTGAGAACCACCGGAGAATCTACCATCAGTTAACAAGGCAACATCTTGACCTAAACCGTAGCCCATTAATGCGGAAGATGGTTTCAACATTTCTGGCATACCTGGACCACCTATAGGACCTTCGTATCTAATGACACAAACGGTCTTTTCACCCTTCTTAATTTCACCCTTTTCCAAAGCAGTAATAAATGCCATTTCATCATCGAAAACTCTAGCCTGTCCTTTGAAGTAAGTACCTTCCTTACCAGTAATTTTACCGACAGCACTACCTGGAGCTAAAGAACCCTTCAAAATTTGTAAATGGCCGCTTGGCTTTAATGGATTAGATAATGGTCTAACAATATCTTGTTCGGCTGGTAAACCTTTAACAGAGTCCAAGTTTTCTTTGATAGTCTTACCAGTGACAGTATATTGCGATCCATCGATTAAACCTTCGGCTAACAATAATTTCATGACAGCGGGCGTACCACCATATTTCTGTAAGTCAGCCATAACATATTTACCACTTGGCTTAAAGTCTGCCAATAATGGAGTAGAGTCTGAAATTCTTTGGAAATCATCGACAGTTAAATCAACACCGACAGTATTTGCCATAGCAATCAAATGCAAGACGGCATTAGTAGAACCACCAGTAGCAATAATATAAGTGATTGCGTTTTCAAAAGCCTTCTTGGTCATGATATCCATTGGCTTTAAGTCAAGGACTAACAAATTTTTGATTGCATCACCAACAGTAGCACATTCATGTTCCTTTTCCTTCGAAGTGGCTGGTGCACTCGATGAGTATGGTAAAGACATACCTAACACTTCAGCAGCTGAGGCCATGGTGTTGGCAGTGTACATACCACCACAAGCACCAGCACCAGGACAAGCATTCTTAATGATATCCTTTCTCTCATCCTCATTAATCTGTTTCGATAAGAATTGACCATACGATTGGAAAGCAGAGATAATATCAATCTTGTCAGGAATAATCGAGTTACCACAAGTTGGAGAACCTGGCATAATGGTACCACCATAAACCATAATAGAAGGTCTGTTGTGTCTACCCATGGCCATCAAGGTACCTGGCATGTTCTTGTCACACAGCGGAATCGCAATGTTGGCATCGTACATCTGGGCCATCATAATGGTCTCAAACGAGTCGGCGATAATTTCACGCGATTGCAAAGAGTATCTCATACCATCAGTACCATTGGTAATCCCATCCGAGACACCAATCGAGTTGAATTGCATCCCCTTCAACCCCGATCTGTTGACAGATTCGGTCACCTTATTGTTCAACTCCATCAAGTGCATGTTACATGGATTTCCTGACCACCAGACTGAACCAACACCGACCTGTGCCTTGCTCATATCATCCTCACTAAACCCGGTCGCATACAACATCGCTTGGGATGCCCCCTGCGATTTTGGCTCCGTCACAATGGAAGAGTACTTATTCAACTTCTTCTCACCATTCACGGCCGAATTGGAGAATAACCTAATATTTCTACCTCTAAAGTTATGTTTACACCTTGTCAATGCACTCATATTGTATTGTTTCCTAAAATATACTTTAATACAGTCTAATGCTTATAGCAGTGTTCAATGTAACAACTACAGTGCCTTTTGTATACCATGGTGAGTCAAGTGAAAAATTGATAATTTTTTATATACAGGACATGCTTCACCAGCGATAGAGTAGTGTGCCAATCCCAAAAGTCCGCTGCTCCAATCATTAATGTTTATTAAATAAGCACTTGCAGCCATTTGGTCCTCTGGCCGGTCGCCCGAACGGAGCAGAAAATTTTATGTCATAGAATATATGAGTCACGCACGTATCGCTCTCTTCGGAGACCGACTTTTTTCCCCAACCTCCTGTTCGTTTCCCATAATGACGTAGCCTCCTGGCACTGGTACGTTGCAACGCCTAAATGCGCCTAAATTTACGCCTAATTGGTACCTGCGAGGAATATTCTCCACGAGTTTATTTGTGGCCACAATGTATGATACGTAGTGAAGAATCGACGGAAGGGAACTAAACTGTAGGAAGTATACCGGTCCAAGGGTTTAATGCTGTAAATAGTGGACTAATAGGTGTAATGTGTAGAATGACTCTGGTAATGCTGGTAGTGGCTAATAAGGAAGCGAACAGTGTAGGATAAAGACGTATCACATGATTGAGACGATCGAAAAAATAAGCGCTATATACTATCCGAGGGTCACGAAGTGTACTGGTACCTAATTGTAAGAAGAGTTCATAATAACGACGTCGACTTTTAACGTTATTTGATTATAGGATCGATACGTTAAGGTTATAGGATTAAAGTCAAAATGGCAGAGAAGCGATTATTTAAGGAATATAACCAACTCAAGAAGACCCCGGCGCACGAAGCAAATCCTCAGATTGTGTCGCTATTACCTGTTGACATGTCTAATATTCTTGAATGGGAGGCAGTTGTGAGTAAACCAGGCAAAAGTGAAAGTAGATACTATTATAACGGGAAATGGAGGCTTAATATTGCGGTGCCTACCACCTACCCACTTACACCACCAAAAATTGAGTTTGATAGGTCTACACCAATATGTCATCCCAATATTAACATAGATACGGGAGAGATTTGTCTTGATATATTGAAACAAGAGAACTGGTCACCAGCATGGAACTTGCAATACTTGGTGGTGGCAATATTGATGCTTATTGATGATCCAGAGCCGGATTCGCCGTTAAACATTGATCTGGCAAACTTATTCAGACATGACAAGACTGCCTTTGAGAGCGTGGTGCAGTATTACATGTGGAAATTTGGTACATTTCTAACGTCAGATAGGGGAGAAAAAGACATTACGGGAGTTAAGGAAGACGGCGACGAAATTGTAGAGAAAAACTTGGATATTGAGTCGATGGAGGTTTCAAATGATGCCAGCAAGGCAATCCATGAAATAAAGAACCAAGCGCAAGAAATTGTCAACGAGACCAATTCGATATTAGAGAGTTCCTCTACAAATGATGCAAATCATACTTTTTCTTACAGACTTTCAAGACCAGTAGTGCCTACGGACACTCAGAACGAAATTAAGTCGAAATTGGATTTAAAGCTCAGTAAGATTGATGACTTGAAGGACAAATTAAATATACCAGAATCATCTGCCTCAACAGGAACCAAGCATGTACCAAACTACAAAGTCATCCATGATGTGGGAGAGGAAGTTACAAAACAGTTTATTGCAAAGGTAGACGAAATCGGCCATTCATCTAGCTCATCTCAGGGATCGATAGAAGAGACTCATGCAGATAATGACTTACAGGGAGTGAAACAGAAAGTGACTGCAAATGTTACCAAACAAGTGGAGATATTGTGTCTGAAATCGGCGTCGCCTGATACAACGGAATTTCATGAGAGCATAAAGGACCAGAATTACAACTCTAGTAATGGTGAGTTGGAAAGAGTAAGACAAAACTTCATGAAGCAAGTAGACGATAAAATCAAGAAGCACGAGGAGTATATCAGAAAACTGCAATCTAGCTCGCCCAACCAAGTAAACCCATTAGATGAGAATCAAGTGAAGCAAGCATCAAAGGAGCCAGCTATATCTAATGGCAAGCCAAAAAGTCCACTCGTTGAAACCTACAGTCAAAAAAGACACACAATACCCGAACCGGAAGGTGGCGACGTTGATAGTTATGATATGAACAAACCATCGCAAACAATAAGAGTCCCATTAACCCAGCAACCAGAACCTGAAAACTTGCGTACTGAAATCCCACCAAATCGCACGCAGAGTTCATCTGCTGGACTGGCCACTCCTAAGTCTATCATAAGTCAGGAATTGGACGCTGGTCTGGATATTTCTTTACAAAGAACTGACTCAGGGTCATCGAGATCGTCGTTCTCTAATTTAAAGAAGTCCCTCTCAAGAAAAAACTCGAAGTCAAAGACCAGTTTGCAGGACGAGCCCGAAATTTCAAAAAGAAAGAGGTTCCTGAATTTGCTTAAATCGAAGCCTGGCGAAAAATAGGATGCTCCAGTCGTAGAAATTATTTACTAGACAATTGCATAATGATTAACGAACTATTACATAACCATCAACAATATATATATTTAAATCATGTACTAACTTAATGTACAAAATGTACAAAACTTGTCCGCTAACGATTTTATTCTATGCTCCTCAAAACATAATATTGCTTCTTTCGGGTTGTATGGAGCACGTTGAGTAATTTGTGTTGTGGAAAGTGTTCCGAGTTCGTGAAACAAATTCCATTTAATTGTATAGTTGCGCTAAATCAATCTCACGGTAATATAAGAACCCTTTTTATGAGATAATATGAAAGCCAATCCAAAGTACATTTTAGTAGAAGAGCATTACTCGGCTCATGTGAATAAACTGACAACTGATAACACATTAGCCGGCTACAATCAAGATGTCGCTAAATCTTTTGGGTATTCACTTGATGACTTGAAAACTATCCCTACCGAATCTAATTTGGGAGTTTCTTGTGGAAACCCACTTTCACTTGCTAATTTGAAAGAAGGAGAAGTAGTGATTGATTTAGGATCGGGTGGTGGGATTGATGTTTTCCTTGCTGCAAAAAAGGTCGGCAAACACGGAAAAGCCGTTGGTATAGACATGCTCAAGGAAATGATTAATACTGCTAGAGCAAATGCAGAAAAGGGGGGCTATACGAATGTCGAATTTATCGAATCACGTATAACCGATATTCCACTTGAAGACGGAACTGCTGATGTTGTTATTTCTAATTGTGTTATAAACTTGGTCCCAGACGACGAAAAGCCAACAGCTTTTAAGGAAATTTATAGGTTATTAAAGTCGGAAGGAAGAGTTGCCATATCAGACATTTTATCTGTTAAGGACTTGCCAGATACAATTAAGAACAACTTAGCCTTTTATGTTGGGTGTGTTTCTGGAGCAAGAAGTGTTGAAGAGTATGAGAAGTGGCTTAAAGAAGCAGGATTTCTGCGAATTGTAATAGTGAACACTAATAAAGACCTTAATGTTTATAAAGAAGGAGCCTTAATGTCTGATTGTGCACAGAAGACCTCTTGTAAAACTGGATCTGATGTTATGAATGAGGCAGAAATCAATAATGTCAACTTCAACGACTATATTGGTTCATTTCAAATATATGCCATCAAGGATTAATTCAGCAATTCATCTAAATAAATAGAATAAGCACTCAAATAGTATACATTATGTGAAACACTAATTACACATACTTGATTAGCTTATACTGTGATATATAAATATAAATACAAATTAGTTAAAAATAAGAAATACCTCTTATACTATCTATTTACATAATACCGTTAATTTGAAATTTGAGTGACATTATTCATATCTATCACTTCTTCGACTTCATCATTAACGTCTGACCATAAAAATTTGATTTTGAAGTATTTAGCAACAAAACATAATATTAGTAAAATTGGGACCTCTAATAAAGGACCAAATGTAGCTGCTATGGATTCTTTACTTCCAGATCCATATAATGAGATTGCTATTGCAAGACTTAATTCAAAATTATTCGATGCAGCAGTAAAAGTTTGAGTGATGGTCTCAGAATAACTTGCTGAGCAATTCGTAACCCATTTGCCTGAAACCTTTGCAATCTGTTTTTCGCAACCACACAACAATTCAGTGTTTTCGCTGATTTCTCCTTCTTCTCTAGGAGAAACGCGCCCCAAGAACCATCTTAAAAAGAAAAAAGTTCCAAACCATGTAATCATAAAGTAGACAGTCAATGGGACAAAGCAACGTAACCCAGATCCTATATCACGGATAAAATCGTTACCTGTCTCTATAAAAATGACGATAATAGTATACAATAAACCTATTAACGCCCAAGGTCCGATGAAAGGAAGTATTCTTGAGTCGTATACTTTTATACCAACGGTAGATATAGCTAAAAGTCTGATCAAGAAACCAATAGCAAGTGGAATACCTAAAAAGAAAGCAACACTTTGCGCAACCAACAGATATGTGACCCCAGCACCCGCTCCTTGGGAATGATGATAATCACCAGTTATCACGTAGCAGAAGAATATTTGATAAGGTGCATAAAGAACAATCTGAAGTAAACTATTCAAAAGTACAATAACTGCACATAATGAGTTATCACCATCAGATATTTCATTCCAAACCAACACCATAGCAATACATCTCGCCAATCCGATCATAATAATCCCTGTTCTATACTCGTCTAAGTCAAACAATGTGAGCCAAGCAAGACCAAACATTAAAAATGGGCATATAACCCAGTTTATCACCAAAGATATTAAAATCGATCTTAAATATTTTTTCAGGTTGAAAAAACTGAAAAAGTTCTCCCATTCAACTTTACACAACGGAGGTATCATCATAACTATAAGGCCTACAGCCAATGGAACTGAAACCCCAACTACTTTAGCTCCATTGAATGCTTCTCGACTAGAAGGCACATACACGGACAATAATATTCCCAAGATCATGGCTGAAATAATCCAAAGTGGTAGTAGTTTGTCAACCAACGAGAGATCATCGAAAACTCGACGCAAGTCACTAGACATTTTTTTGTTAGTACAAACCATAGTGAAGCTTGTATACCCTCTTCCAATGTAATACTTTCAAATCAACTAAAATTTGTATTTGCAGGTATTTAAAGGCTATGATTAGTAATGGGAGATTAATTATTTAAAAATTTTCATCCCACGTGGTGAGTGTTCTGCCGTTCTTATATAAGTTAAGATTTTCAATTTGTCAACGTTAATTCATAGCTTTCAGACGAAAATGGCGAGCACTGAATCAAAAATCCTGGTGAAGGATTGGTTAGAACTTTATCCGGAACCACTGGCAACGGCATCTCGCTTGTCTGCAGCTGAAGTCTTAAAATTGTTATCCGCTGGAAAATCTGCAACAATTCTTGATTTGCGAAATGACCGTACCCCAGGATTCATTCGTAATTCAGTTCACGTTCCTGCTACTTCTATTTTTGGGAATACGAACATAAAGGGACAGGTAGTGGACAAGATGTATGAGTTTAATCCAAGTTTGAATTACATAATTGTTCATTGTAATAGTTCAAAGAATAGAGCCACCAAAGTCGCAGGTTGGATCCAAGACTATATTAATGACCAGAAGCCTGAAAATTTGAAGGTTGCAGTATTAAACGAAGGAATTACAGGGTGGTTAGAAAAGCCTGAACCCTATGCATCTTTTGTAGAAAAGTGCCTGTAAATTTCTAAGGTGAAACATCTCAATAATGTACATATCGATAACGTTGAGTTCAATATTCCCTGAACTCTCTTTGACTAAGAATATATATGCCGATCTATTACATCACATTGTAGACTGAATAGGAGTACTAACTGTCCAGGCCTAGCTTGAAGTAGAATTCGCCGACATTCATGCTGTACAAAAAGCCCATTCTTAGAGGCCTGAATTTTTGCTTATATCGAAGCCTAACGAAAAATAGAATGCTCCAGTCATACAATAACTGACAATTGCGGAACGATTAACGAACTATTACATATCCATTTAATAAAATATATATTTAAATTATGTAATAACTAAATGTACAAGATTAATTCGTCCATAACCGATGGGAATTAACTCTAATGATATCGATATCTTATTGTGTTTTCTATTATATGTTCGCCATATCCTAACGTAATCTTCTTGCTTCTCTTTCGGATTCCATCAAGCACAAGATATCGTTTTCTCTGACTGGTCCCTTGACGTTTCTGACAATGGTTCTGGAAGCATCTTCCAAGAATTCAACTCTAACTTGAGTGACACCACCTCTTGATCCGGTTCTACCTAAGACTTTGATAACTTTAGCTAAAGTAACTGGGGTTTTAGTATCCTGTCAATTGTTAGTTTTATGTCCATGCCATATCCACGTATGGGTCAGTACTCCAACATCCTGAATACCAAATTTTCTCTACTTTCAAAAATTCAATATCTGGTTTCTGCTGTTCTCTCCCTTCATTATCTATAACATACCATTTTGTATTATATTACTGTGATTATTGATTTAAACTGCTCGAATTAGTACCAATATATCACTAAGAAAAATTTTTCAATATTCCAACCGGTAACAAATTCCGGGTAACGAGCCGACGAACATTTTTTTACCGTCCCAGATCACCATCACATGACGCGTTCGACTAGTAGCAAACGGAATTGCAGTCAGATATGTAAAGATCGAAATCTTGAATCTTTATTGTTTTGCTTTCAATTAGTAGTGGTAAATTGTAGCGCTTTATTGCATGATACATGGGAACAAGCTCTGGAATTAACTGGACGTAAATCGAAATGATAGGCATGGGAGGACCCATTTTGGAAGGCGATAGTGTCCCTACCAATATATCATCAGTTTGTTTACATTTCAATAATACGGGTGGATCAAAATACATACATCACCACTGCTGACTAGGTGATGACAAAATGGCGATAGGAGAGTCGAGAACAGAGCTATTGCATTGGCTTAATAGTACGTTAGACCTTCAATACGGAAAGGTCGAGAATTGCGGCACCGGGGCGGCGTATTGCCAGCTTATGGACTCGATAGTGGGAGGCATACCAATGTCAAAGGTCAAATTCAATGCCCAGACAGAATACGATTACATACACAATTTTAAGATATTACAGGCCAGTTTCAACAAACATAAAGTAAATAAGACCATAGACGTCGAGCGGTTGGTGAAATGCCGGTTACAAGACAATCTTTTGTTGTTGCAGTGGTTCAAGAAGTTCTGGCACGAGAACAAGGATGTAAACGGGGTTTATGACGCGGCCTCTAGACGTAAAGTGAGCGGACTGTACCCTAATGGTAGCGGATTCAATGTGACACCCCAAGAACGGTCTAGGACATCGTCTGAGTCGTCGCTTGGGTCCCGCCGTACCACGTTGCCTAGCAGAGTGCCATCGACGGGTCGTACGTCAATCACACCAAATACCCCCACCAACGCCACCACCAAGCTTTCACAATTGAACAAGGAGTTGGCAGATACAGCTAATGAGCTTGCCACAGTCAATGAGGAGCTTCAGGAATACAAAATCCTGGCTGAAAGCCTTGAAACCGAGCGAAACTTTTACTTCAACAAGTTACGAGAAATCGAAATCCTCACCGAGAATTTGAAACTGCTCGATGAGCCCGAATTTAACAAGTTGTCTGTTAATGAATTCATAGAAAAGGTCCAGTCGATTCTTTACTCGACCGAGGAAGGGTTTCAGTCAAATAATGACCAAGTAGACATGGATGGAGAATCCTTTTAATTCACCCATAAAAAACTATAATATTTCTTTCGAAATACACATTCTATATCCTATATACATCTCTACATGTCATATATAACAGCTACTTAGGTCTACCAATGCATATCTTCAGGGTGCTATTAGTTTATCCGATAAATATGGGGTTTATGTGGTCTCGTGACCAGACGCCAAAGTTTGAAAAAAAAAATTT